GAAGCCCTTCTGGGGTTTCAGTGGAAAGTCTGAGGGGGTCCACCAAGCCCCTCTCCTTGGCAGAATGTAAACTCCAAACTCAGTCTTTCCTGCAGGGAATGGGCAGCGGCTGAAATCTCTGCCCAGCTCTTTAAACCTCACAGACATAGCACGCCTCTGGGCTTCTAACAGTCTCACCCGTGTGTGAGCTCGGGCGGCCTCAGCCAAGGACCTGAGGAGTATTACTATGCACTATCTGGGGACTCTCCTCTGCGGCTGCCTTCTTTTTAAGATTTCTCTTCTTCCTCCAACAACAGCAGAACACACACTTTTTCTAAAACTCGCATAGGACATTCATTGAGATAGACCACATTCTGAGCTGCAAAACACCCCTTAACAAATTTAAAATAATAGAAACCATATGGTATCTACTCTGAGGCCACAGTGGAATTGAACTAGAAACCAAGAGCAGAAAGACAACTGGGGAATGTCCAAATTCATAGAGATTAAACAATACACTTCTAAATAACACATGAGTCAGAGAAGAATGCTCAAGAGGAATTTTAAAATGTTTTTAACTAAATGAAAATGAAAACACAACTTATCAAAACTGCGGGGTGCAGTGAAGGCGGCGCTTAGAGGGAAGCGTGTCGGATTGCACGTGTACGTCCGGAAAGAAGGTCTAGACCGATCGTCTAGCTTTTCACCTTAGGGAACTAGGAAAAGAGGAGCAAATTGAATCCAGAGTTAGCAGAAGAAATAATAAAAATTAGAGCAGAAATCAGTGAAATCGAAAGTAAGAAATCAGTGGAAGAAAAATCAAAGAAACCCAAAGTGTAAAGATACAGGGTGAAAATCAAAGCACAGAAAAGGCACATCGGTTCACCGTGCCCTGCGGAGGTCCCAGCCCCCTTTCCTTCCTCTCCAGTCCCATCCTCGCCATCCGCTCTCCCAAGTCAGCCTCATAAGGCCCGGAGTCAGGCTGGCCTGGAAAGAGAGCTCCATGAAGGCAGGGAGAAGGGAGGGAGCAGAGAAGGCAAAGACAGACTTCCCTCGGGAGGCATGTGGTGGGAAGGATAGGCTGGGAAATGAGTTCACAGTCATACATTTTTCCCACATCAGAGGTGAGCTCAAGACATCTATTTGTAAGCGGCAGACTTGAAAGTTAAAACATATTGTCCCCCTGAGACAAGCAATGAGGCCTAGGATGTTGAGCCAGGCTGCATTAGCCTGCGTTGTACACATAGATTGTTACACGTTTTATCTAGAATATTAATGAAATGGTAAGCCTTGAACTAAATTAAATTGGGTTAAAGGCAGTGTCAGCTTCACGATGTTATCCTCTGACCTGGGAGCACACTGAGATTTTTCATTTATCAAGACTTCCTGTATCTCCAGCCACACTGCCCCCCGACAGATGCCCCTTGGCCTGGGTGCACACGCTGGCTGGTGGCCTGGTTTGCTTTGGGGGTGGGGGGAGACCTGGCACAGAGACCTGCGTGGAGGTGGGCTTGGGGCTCCTTAGGCAGGGAATTCTGCCATCTCAGGGTCTGGAAGTGGAAAGCACGGGTTTCAGGTGTCCCTCGACACCATGAACTCCTCACCCAGGAAGGGGGCACGGCCAGGAGGAGGCCAGCAGAGGGCCCCCTGAGGAGCAGTCCACAGGCGGGGGTGCTGTGAGGATGAGAATGAAAGCAGAGACGGTGCCTGGCATGTTGAGGATGCTCAGTAAGCGTAGCTCTGTTGGTTTCTTACATTTCTAGTCTGTCGAGTTGGACGAGGCCTCTCACCCTCACCCCCCCCCCCACCCATCCCGGACTCCGCACTTGCTGGCAGTGTCCCCTAGCGCCCCTAGTGTGCAGTTCCAAGCCCTCACCTTGTGCTCAGACTATTTCTGGGGTCCGAAAGCCCTTCCTTCTCTTACCCACGGCTGAATTTCTCATCCGTCTGTCCATCTGTGTGCCAGTTTTTCTTCCTGGGAGGAGTCTCTTGACCCTTCCCGCTTCCCTCCAGCCAGCGCCCTCCGCCCCTTTTGGACCTTGTCCGAACCAGGGCAGCACCTCTCTCCCTGCCGGCGCTGTCCCCTCCCTGCGGCCCTCGCTGCCTCGGGGCAGGACTTTGCTTCATTTGCTCTGCTCCCCTCTGTGCTGCCCAGTCTGGCTGGCAGCCATGCACCGAGCTGATTGTGGAGCTGAGGAATTTAACTCTGTGTTCAGAAATCCCTGCAGGAATTTTCCATTGAGATAAGCGAGGGTGAAGGTTTCAAGGCAGGGCTGGTGGTCATTCCTGCTTATCTCCAAGGCTTTTAGGAGATAAGAACATTCTGGAAGATCTGCATCTCCGATATTACACTATGAGTTGGATCCTTAACTTCAGCTCCGCAAGGAAGCCCTAAGGAGGAAGGGGGGCACTTCTCCCCCACAAACCCTCAGCTCGGGGTCCCTGGGCTCATCCACCTGAGAGCTGTGTTAACAGTCCGAGCGCACAGGGGTCTCTGCACAGGGAGCAAGGGCGTGGGCGGGCAGTTGGCAGTGTTTGCTACAAGCCCTGATAAAGGCTTCAAAAAATTTCAGAAATGTTTATGCAGCAGTAGGTCAGGTGTTCACCAGATGACCCCAGGAGAACAAATGGGCAAGAAGTTACCGAAGACTGATATTTGAGCCGCCTTAGGATTTCGCATCCTAGAATCTGGAATCCACCGCAGATATCTGAGCAGAGGCTGGAAGTTAGTTGGTGACCCTTCTGTTGCCGAGCTCTCCAGCCACTGGCCCTTTCAGCTCCCAAATTCTGTGCCTTTGCATTCTTTTTGCCTGTGAGCGGGCGTGCCCGCACCTGGGGCCTAATTAACCGGCGTGCGGGAAATTCTCCTTGTTAATGCCAATATAGGAATGTTGATAAAATGCCAAGGGAGAAAGTTAAAAGTTGGTACAGCCATATAGAGATGATATTAATTATGGTCACGTAAGTAATTGTGTACATCTTTGACTAATTTCCGCTACAGGCAGTGATGATTCTGGTGTGCACGTCTCAGTGGGGTCAGAGGTCAGCAGGTCCGTGTTCTCGGTCCCCGTCCTCCCCACCAGGGGGTTGGTTTGTGCCCAGGCCTGACCCCGCACAGCCACACAGGAAGGCACCTTCTGAATTAAGCGTGAGTGCCCCAGGCTTCCATCTCCTGTGGACAGCTCTCTGTGTGGTGAGATCAAATCACAGAGGTCAGAGGTGAAATGAGGCCTGGGGCCAACTGGCCCAACCCGGGCGCCTTAGAGGTGAGGAAACAAGTATTGGGGGTGGGGGGGTGACTTGCTGAGGTCTCTGTGGGAGGAGCCCACAGGTTTCAGGAAAGGACCCACTCAAATTACAGGCTGTGCAGGGTGCCCCTAGGACGACAGAAGTGATCAGCTCCCAGGCCCAACTGAGGGTCTGAGTTGTAGCCTCTCCCGGTGTCCCCGGGCCTTTTGAGGCGAGGGAGGGTTGGGGCTGGCCTGAGTCCGGCCCCGGGGGGGTGGTTCCCAGTCTTCCTCCAGTGATGAGCTAATGCGGCAGCTCTCATGCCTTGTCATCTGGTTGGGGGGAGGGAGCATGTGTGCTTTGGCTCAGCTCAGGTACTGAGGCAGGCAGGATTCTAGGTGGCTCCCAGGGTTCTCACCCCAGGTGCCCACACCCTGTATAATCCCCTCCCCTAGAGTGTGCCCAGGGCCATGGAAAGTATGGATGTCACTCTTGAGGTTAGGTTACATTATAAGGCAAAAGCCAAGGGATTTTAACTAAGGTCCCTCATCAGCCAGCTTTGAGTTAACAAAAGGGAGATCGTGCCTGGTGGGCCTGACCTAATCAGGCGAGCATCGTGAATGTGGGTCTAGAAGTCAGAAAGACTATCCCGATGGCTTTGAGGAAGCAAGCTTCCCTGGGTGAGAGGGTCTGGGGGCCCTCTAACAGCTGAGAGTGGCCCCCAGCCGGCAGCCAGCAGCAAAACGGGATCTCTGTCCTACAACAGCGAAGCACTGGATTCAAACAAGAATGACATGAGCTTAGAGTGGACCTCAGACTCCAGAAAGGATGCAACTGGCTGACACTTTGACTGCAGCCTTGGGAGTCCCTGAGCAGAGGACCCAGGAGGCTGTGCCCAGACACCTGACCCACAGAAGCTGGGAGAGAATATACGTGTGTTGTAAGCCTCTGTGTTGGTGGTTGTTATGCACTGGCAGATGGCCCCTCTGACACAGGACTGCAGGGCGTGGGGGAGCCACCGAGATGATGGAGCGTGTCTCCCAGCAGCCCGGTGGGGTGGGAGCCCACGCTGAAGTTAAGGTGAGCTGTGAGGACAGCTAGCTTCCCACGTGCTGTCTGCAGACAGATTCGTGGCTAACAAATCTTCACCTTTCTCAGCATCCAGCCTGCCCCAACCCAGTGCTCGGAGACTCAGAATCTTAGAGGCTATTCCATTATTGCTGAGGCAGGAAATTCCATGATTGGAGTCGTGTGAAGAACTTGGGAGGCAGAGGAGGATGTCCCCTGCCCTTGGTCTTGCTCCCAGATCCTCCCATCCCTGCGGAGGTGTGGTCAGTTGCAAGGTGACAAAGCTGGGAGCAGGAAATGCGGCCTCCCGGGGCATCCAGCCAGGACCCTGTTCTCTGACCCCAGGACTGGCCCCCTGGCTTGCCTCTGGTTCCCGGCACAGGGCCCCACCAGAGCTGGCTCCCAGCTGCTTGTGGCAGGAACAAATTCATTTGACCAACATACTTCCTTCTCTCCTGGGCAGCTAGTTTCAAATGCCATAAAGATCTCCACAGCCAGAGAAGGGAGCAGAGGGAGACCTTCAGCACTGAAATGAGACCCGTAACAAAACAGAAACTCAGCTGGAGTCGGGTGACCCGACAGGAACGTGACTTCCGCCAGGTGCCCAGGTGCCGCTGTGGCGCCTGCTCTCAGGTCCAGCCTCCTGCCCTGCCCCAGCAACCACATGACGGTGGTGGACCTTGCCCAGGGAGCCTCCTGGGGCGGGAGGGGGCCTGACCTTGGGGGAGGGGGCAGGGCACCGCCTTGGCCAGAGGTTGCTGCTTCTTACCTGTTTTCTGTTGGAACAGAGCCCCTGCCTGTCCCCATGGCCACGCCCCAGCCCGCCTGTTGAGGGAGCAGCCCTAGTTCCCTGGCCAGAAGTGGGGAGAAAGGGGATGCAGGTAGGGGCCCTGCAGGACCTGGTGATGACAGGCTGTCAGGCTCGCTGGAAGTGACCAGGCCTGGGGAGCACGTGAGTTATTGTTTAGACTTGGGGACACTTTGCTGAGTGTGTCTGTGTGTGAATGTCTGTGTGTGTCTGTATCTGTGGGTCAGTCTGTGTGCATTTGCCTTTGTGTGCGTGTGTGTGTGAGTGTATCTGCGTGTCATGTGTGTGCCAATGTTTGTGTCTCTGTGTGGCTGTGCGTGAGTCCCCGTGCACATAATCGAAAGGGCAAAGGCAGGGGCGAGGAGTGTGTCCTCCTGAGCGCCAGAGGTGTCCTGTTTGTCCCGGACGGCTTGCTGGGTCAGTTCGGAAGGTGATTCCTATTTAAATAGTGACCTCTGGGAAAATTCCAGTTAAAGGGCTTGAATGTAACGGCTGGTAATGTATAGGGGGGCCCTTACAGGAATCCATTTCAAATGACTCACACTGCTCAAGGAATCAGACTGCCCTCAGAGTGAACAGCCGCAGGGAAATCCTGCTGTTTTCACCTGCCTGGGTCGGGAGGGCACATGGAGGACCTGCGGCCACAGACCTGGCTCTCCAGACCTGTGCTTGGAGTGGCCCCTCTCCCAAGAAGGCTGGTTTGGATTTGCAGTCCTTCCCTTTTTCCTCTGGTGGAGGTGGTGGGCCATGAAGACATGGAAAGCGCCAGCCCAAAATGCTGGAGTGGGTGTCCCTACTGGTCCTCAGCACGAACGTGGCATCCCTGAGAACATTTCTGTGTCGAGAGAGACTTTAATCCCAGCTAGATGAAATGCTAGAGGCTGGGTCAAAAGTCACACTTTCAATTTTCTCTCTGAACAGAGGGCTCCAACCTCTGATGATCGAAAGCTTACAACATGTAATCACACACAAAATTATATACAGAAATGCTTTCTGCAGGCTTACTTATTACAGGAAAGAAAATTAAAGCCAAGTGAGTATCCAGTGATGGAGAGACAGCCCAGCAAAGTGGAGTAGTTGTAGGACTGTCGTGTGGTCATCACACCTGCAGATGGTGAAAGCATCTCTAACGTACAGAACAAGGTGGAGAAATGCCCTCGAGATATGTGAAGTGTTTTTTAATGTAGGATGCATAATTTTATGTTAAAACTATGGTTGGTTTGTTTTTAAGATTCTTAGGAAAAAACTAGAAGTAAGGAGGCAAAAAACCATCCCTCATTTTATTAAGGAGGTAGGATTATGGGTAACTTCGTTTTTTTTTCATATGGACAATGATGTGTTTATATTTACCACAAAATAATATTTTAGACCCGAGAGATGTGTCATCGTCAAAGGGGTAAGTCACCTGTGTGTGGTATCATAGTAATGGTACGTTCGTTCATGCTCTGCCTATTTTGGTTAATTCAGACACATTTTGGGCTCAAGATTTTCTTGACTCAAGAAGTGTTTTATTAATTGTGCACATGAACAGCAGAGCACACTTGAAGGGGTATCTTTAAACTCCTGAGAACGCGCTGCTTTACGTGTGGTAGAGCTTTCTCTTTATGTAAAATTATAGCAAAAATCAGTGGACTACCTGCTTCCAAGCAGGCACCTTAAGTATTTCCAGCCAGAAACAAGGCGTCGACCTGGGGTGGCAGAGAAGGTTCGGGAATTCCACTCTTAGAAGTTCCTTTCCTCCAGCTTTCTTGCGATACAATTGACCTATAACATCGTGCAAGCTTAAGGCATAGGACGTGTTGACTTGATACAACTGCATATTGCACAGTGAGAACCCCCGGGGCTAAGCTACCACCCCGCGACGTCCCGTAATTAGCATTTCTTTCTGTGGTGGGAACATTGAAGACCTGCCCTCAGCCTTCTTGCAGCGTGTGACACGCCGGGTTAGCTCTCCTCGCCGCGCTGCG